AAACTCATGACCAGTGAAGCTGAAAGGAAGTGGGATTATCCACTGAAAAAAATGGCATTATTGTCACCCAGAAATACAGTTATTAGTCATTTTTACAGATGGTTCTTAAAACAATCCCGAGGGGCCAGATTTAAGTGACAAGAGTCAGACACAAAGCAGCCCAGCCCCACGTTGCCAGCTCAGATGGAGCTGCACAGCTCAGACCAGGGGGGGAAAAAAGAAAGCTTAAGTGTCTCTCAAGTGCCTGAAAAAAAGGGGAAATCTGAAAGGTTGAAAAACAGGAACTCGCTTGGTGACAAGGCCTGCACCTCTGAGAAGGGAAAGTTTCATTTCTGGCAGTAGGAAGACGAGCGTGGGCAGAGGCAGCACCAAATCATTCACCACTCTCTGCCCGTGTTCAGCTACTTCCTGGCATTTTAGGGAGGACTGGACCAAAAAAAAAAAATCCAAACAAGTTTTTCACAGAAGAGTGACAATGGCAATTAAAAATAAAAAATTGCTATTCCTTCATTTTCAAGCGAGTTTTTCACAGAAGACTGACAACGGCAATTAAAGATAAAAATTGCTATTCCTTCATTTCCAGGGAAATATCTGTGTTGGTTTATTTAAACTGGCAACGCACCAACCAACCCCCAAATCCTCAGCAAATCCAATCACAAATCACAGCCTGGTTTGGGTTGGAAGGGACCTTAAAGAAAATCTCATTCCAATCTCTTACCACGGGCAGGATTCCCAGTAAACACCTTCAATCCAATCAAATAATATCAGGCAGAGTTCCCAAAAAACACCTGCAATCCCATCAAATATTATCGGGCAGAGTTCCCAAAAAAACACCTTCAATCCTGTCAAATATTATCAGGCAGAGTTCCCAATAAACACCTTCAATCCCATCAAATATTATCGGGCAGGGTTCCCAAAAAACACCTTCAATCCTGTCAAATATTATCTTTGAGGTTTTTGATGGGATTATCCAGCACAGGGATGGGATCCAGCTCTAGGGTAGGATTCCCAGTAAACACCTTCAATCCTATCAAATATTATCTTGGGGTTTTTTGATGGGATCACCTGGCACAGGGATGGGATCACCCAGCACAGGGATGGGATCCAGCTCTAGGGCAGGATTCCCAGTAAACACCTTCAATCCTATCAAATATTATCTTTGAGGTTTTTGATGGGATTACCCAGCACAGGGATGGGATCACCTGGCACAGGGATGGGATCCAGCTCTAGGGCAGGATTGAGCAAATGCCACTTGTCCTCAGCTCCCCCAGCAGGGCCAGGAGGTGCTCCTTCTCCAGCCCTGTTTTTTGGGAAATCTCCAGCTAGGGAAGCTGCAGGAAAGCACAAGAACACTCTGCATTGGGTTCATTCCTGTTCAGCTGAGCCAGGAGACGAGGGAGATTCCTGGAAGCAGCTGATGAGCCCACGGGACACGAGGGACTGAGACTTGTGACACGGCACCAGCTCATCTGTTCCTGTGGGCTGCCCTTATCACAACCCACAGCAGCCTCACAGGGCCCAGGGGTTCTCAGCACCTCACTCACTTACAGGGAAACGTGGGTCCTGCCCACGGGCTGATGCTGCTCCTCTTCCGAGAAGCCGCCGGGTGTTCCCTGGAATCCCGGCTCGGAGTCATCACCCGCCCCCAAGGAGGAGTGAACCTTGAGGTTCAAAGAGGTCTCGTGGAGGGGTTGAGCCTTATCATGGCCATCCCAGCACCTCTGTGGTCAGAGCTGCTGCCAGGTCTGCAGAGATGATGGTTCTCAGGTCTCGCAGGAAGCCAAGGGCAAGGCAGGGGGAGAGCTCAAAGAGAAAT